GAAAAAAAATCTACAGGGACCTCTTTATACCAGAACAGCAGTTCTAACCCATATTCTCCCACCTGTTCTACTCTGAGCAACTGTAGGAGCCTCTATGCAAATATGAACATCATTTGTTTAGACTCTATTGTGTTCTAAACAGCTGGCCTTTCTTTCCCCTTTGGGAATCATTCTGACTCTACAGAATTAACAGCACTCTTCAAACAAATGGTATCTGCAGATCAAAAGGCTTTTCCATCCAAAAAAAAAAAAAAAATGGACTCCTTGCCAAAATGTTCTCCAAAGGCAAAATTACCCACTGGATTTAAAGAGCCTTTCATTCCTCTCACCCAAAATCCTGTCCCCCAGTTTGGAGAAGTGAGGAAGAGGTAGGATGGGTTATTCCTGCTCCTTCTCCTTTTGGAGTCTCCAAAATGGCTGCCAGAGTCCGTCCTGCAGGCTGAGGAGAGAGGAGAAATCAACAATTAAGTTTCTTTTGCTTGTTACAGCGGTTTCGTTTATGTATTTATTTATTATTTATTTTTGCATCTTTATGCATTATGTGGAAACACAGATACTTCCTTTATTTACACACATTTATTTAACCATTAAAATTTATTTAACTGTTAAAGGTGAGGGTTAATTGTGCAGAAAACATTTTTCTAACAGAATTCATGATAGACAGGAGTTAATTGATGATGATTTCTGGACTAGTCAGGATACTCCTGATTTCCTGAATCCCATCAATCTCAAGCTTATCAAGCAAGAGGATCTGGTGTTCGATTTGTTAAATTTGGTCCCTGTGCCAGGATTATGAGAAGTTATGACTATAGTGTCTGCTACGGACTGAATTGTGTCCCCAAATTCATATGCTGAATCCCTAACTCCCAGCATGGCCGTATTTGGAGTAAGGATGCAATTAAGGTTAAATGAGGTCATAGGGTACAGCCTGATCCTACAGAATTAGTGTCCTTATAAGAAAAGACACCAGAGAGCTCAATATCTCTCTCTCCGCCATGTGAGGACGCAGCAAAAAGGCAGCAAACTGGAAGCCAGTCAGGGAGGCTTTGCTAGGAACCTGATCATCTGGACCTTGAATTTGGACTTCTCAGCCTCCAAAACTATGAGACAATAAGTTTTTGTTGTTTAAGCCACCCAGTCTGTGGCATTTTATAATGGTAGCCTAAGCAGACTAAGACAGTGTTAATAATGTAATAAAATTGGATTTTTGAAAAATATCAAACATAGTAGAGCTGATATGGCCAGATTAATAGTTGTTTTGTAGGCTGTTTATATATTGCATGGATATTGGTATAGCACAAAACTTCGTTGGAGCTTCTCTTTTACATTTCCTTTTGAGATAATAGGTCAGCTGCACGTGATAGGACCAGCTGTGTAATTTCATAGTCAAAATCATGTTTATGAACCAAAAACGATACTTTTCAATTTTCCACACATCCTATTCAGTAAATTAGGCAGCCATTAATTTTGGTTGTATTGATATTAAGAACTCAGATTTCCCCCAAAGGATGGAGACTTGCAAATGTAAAGAATATTCAAAAAGACTATTTGTTGAACAAATTAATTTACCATAGGCTTCGAAAGGCCCAAACGACAGAGATACCCATGACTTAAAGAACTCACAGATGGGTGACAAAAACCACTGCTGGCAATCTTTAAAAACTCAGAGAGAATTGGAGAGATGCCAGGAGACTAGAGCTGGGTAAATACTGTCCAATATCTTTTTAAGGGAGAAAATGCAAATGTAGGAGATTGTAGTTTCACAGACTTGATGTGTTTGACTCCCAGTAAAATTTGATAAGCAATTAATTAGGTCCAGAATCTGAGGGAACATAGTCAAAAACATTGTTGAAATTAAGATCTCCTTAGTTTCTGATGTTGTCTTGGAGAACAGATTGGAAAAACGATAAAAATGACACTACAATGAAGGGGCTTTGTAGCTTTATGTGTAGCTTAGTGATTCCGTGTGAAAAGTGTTGACATAGAAAAAGCTAACAATATATTGTTCAGTGAAAAAGCAGGTTGTAAAACAGTAGAGTGCAATACTATTGTTGTAACTAATATATTAATAGAAATAGATATAAATATATAAAGAAAAATTTCTGGGAGATTTCCAAAATGTCATTAGTGGTTATATCTGGGAGTTATTTTTTCTTCTGGCCTGCTTTTCTGCATTTCTAAGTTCTACGAGATTCAGTTATTTTCTAGAAAATGGCAAAAGAACACAGTCAAAAAGTCACAAGAGAACAGAAGTACTGATTATTATATTGAATTTATGTATAGAAGGATGTTACAAAGACTTGGCATCTCTTTTACATCTGTAATGTGGAATTCTTATTATATGAACATTGCTATATTCTATTAACAGAAGGTCTCAAAACTCTCTTGTCACCAGAATCACCAGGGACACAGTTAAAAATACAGATTCTGGGCTTTATCATCCTGATACCGTAGACTTGGAGGGAGGCTTGGGAAGCTGACCACAGGGAATTGGTTAAATTATGGCACATTCATAAAAGTTGAAATCACTTATCTGTTAACAACTAGGTGGAGGAGACTACTTAATGACCTAGGAAGTTATCCATAGTACCTTCAATGAAAAGAGCTGGTTACAAAATAATGTGATGCAATTTTGCAAGAAGAAGTTTTACACATACACATGCTCCAAAAGAACATGCACCAATGTGTTAACAATAATTAATCATTTGTTTAATGGGATTATTATTTTTATTTTATTTTTTTGACTTGTACTTTCTAATACTTTTCATGTGTTGGTTTTGCAGTTATTTTGAAACCATTGTTTGCATCCAAAGACAAAAGAGTTGATAAAGTTTCATAATGGAGAGAAATTTTTAACCAAAGAACCGTCCTGTTTCATAAAAGAAAGATCCACATGGAAACATTAGCCATGTGAGGCTTATCGATTGGGATGAGCCCTTACAAGCTGGCGAAATAGTGATAGTTTAGGATATACTATAAACCTAATCCTGATTTACATTTCCACTAAGAATTCCTCCCTTTATTCTTCTCCAGGTTCTTTGGAGCAGTTGTCAATATTCCCTTGGGCAGGAGGGGCAACAGTCATGTGTGTTTACATATTTATTGTCCAACAGGATCTTCTTTCAAACTATCTGTGTCCCCACATGGGATAGCTCCAGGGCCTCACAAACCTGTCCCATCAGTTAAATAGTTTCACCAAGTTTATTAAATAGTTTCCCAAATTTATTGAATTTACGTTTGTGATTTATTTATGGGTGGCTGCTACCTTAGCACCACGTTCTGGAGATTAGAGGTAAGTAAGGCTTAAACTTCTGCTATAGTGTCCCCTGCAAAACTCATGTTAAATTTTAATGACTATTGGGACAGTATTAAGAGGTGATTAGGCCATGAGGGCTCTGCCCTCCTGCATGGATTAATATAAAATGAGAGAGTATGTTGTTATAAAAGCTGGCCCAGCCCTCCCTCTCTCTAGCTCATGTCCCTGCTTGTCCCCCTGCCTTCTGCCACCGCAGGAATCACCACAAAGATCCTCACCACATGCACGCCCTGGACCTTGACTTCCTAGCCTCTGGCATTGTAAGAAATAAATTACTGTTCTTTATAAATTATCCATTCTTTGGTATTATGTTACAGCAACACAAAATGGACCAAGACAGTCTGTAAACAATGCCCTGAAAGAACGTGACGTCGGTAGAGAGGTGGAGAGCTTAAAAATGGACAAACGCAGTAGAATATGAACTGTGATACTTCATAGGCTGAGAACATGCTATTAGAGCAAAAGTTCTCATCCCTGGCTACATGTGAGAATTAACGCCGGGGCGTTTGAGAACATGGAGACTTCTTTCCCCACCACCAGAACATCGAATTGCCAGGGTTAGGGTGAGGGTCCAGTATCCACAGGAAAAAAATCTCTCCAGGAAATTCTGATCTTTAACTGTGTGTTGAAACCCACCGTATTATAGCAACTAATTCTGCCTGTGATGTTCAGGACACAGCAGTGAGGAAATGCCAGTTGAACGGAATCTGGGAGGATGAATAGGAGTTTGATGTTGAAAGATAATCTCACATAAAAAATAGGGGGTTTGAAGTCAGGAAGCCTGGCTAAGACCAGGTGTGTCTGGGCATGTGTAAGTAGTTCAGCACAGTGGGTGTGTGGAGAACGTAGTGCATATCTCGTGTGTGCAGAAAGAAAGGGCACAGAAGGTACTGGAACAGGGCGGACAGGAACGTGAGAGGTTGGGTCTAGAATCTGAGGGGCCAGAGCCTATCATGAGCCAATGGCGTGTGGGCGTTAGGGAGCCAGCCTTGGTTGTGAGGAAGTGACCTGGTCACAGTGCCTCTGGTGGAGAGGGAAGTAGCCACACACAGTGGGGACACGAGTGAAGGATTCAAGAGACATTTCTGAGGCACAAGTCACAGAATTTGGCAACTGTGTACACAGTGTTATCTATCAATATTATCACTTCTGGAACTTTTTGAGACTTCACTTCTGTACTTTTTCCTCAAATAATATAAAGCACTTTTTTATATTCACATATCCCTATTTTGCTTTTTCTCTATATAGCCAGAGAATACTAAGTGAGAGAGAAAATGGTGCTATTATGATGATAGAATGAGGTTGTGTGTGTGTTTGTGTGTGTGTGTGTGTGTGTCTTCTTCTCATCAAGGACCTGCTTCCCCAGAGCACAAACTGAGTATAAGGCCGTGGGCTTTGTGAGCACAATGCCAGGAGCATTCACGGAGCCCGGTCTTGGCCTGTGCGCCATTGTGCTCTCTCACTTGACATTTCTGAATGCAAGTATGTCTGACAAGTGTAAATAAGGGTGGCATGCCTCGGAGTGGTCCCCATTTCCACCTTGCGGTTCCTTGTCATGCATGTGTTCAGGGTTGAATGTGCCATTTTCATCTAATATTTTCACAGTTCGAATTTTTTACAGAGTGCAGTGGTGAGGTCTGTGGTTTCCAAGGTGAAGAAATGGATCTGCTTTTTATCCTTGCAGAATTCAGTGCATTTTCAAATACCTTGAAAAGATGCCGGAATCAGAAAAAGGAGTACTCGGTGTTCAGCCAGCGGACAGAAGAAGCGTCTGCTGCACAATACTTCCAGGTCAGGAGAGTTGTCCTGGGTAAGGCTAGTTGAATTGTTTCAAGATCACACACACACACACACACACACACACACACATACTCTGTGAACACACCTAGGCGGGGTTTGTGGAGAGGAGACGATTGATGTTCTATTGCCGTGGTTCTCAAAGTGTGGCCCCCAGACCAACAGCATCCCTGCTCCGCCACTTACTATGTGGTCAGGAGTTGGGCAAGTTGCTTTACTTTTCTGAGCCTCAGTTTCCCTGGCTGAGCAACATAATTCACCTAACTGTTGTGATGATTTAATTGGATTAGATGATAACTGTGAAGCACTTAACATGGTGCCTGGCACATAGAAAGCCCTACCGAATGGCCTACCAGATGGTGGTGATTACAAGGATGATGTTTATTACTGTCAGGGTTCATGGCGTTATGTGCCCCATGTCACCCAGCTGGCTTGCCTCTGTTCCCATCAGGATCACCACTGTCACCACCTTCTGCCCCACCTCCACCCTCACCCAGGATTTCTATCCAAGTCTGTTTTCTACACAAATCTCATGGGACTCACCAGGGCAGGCCATCCCTTTGGCCCTGGCCCTTTTCCCCTTTGAGTCTGTTGTTCTTGACCTGTGCTCTCCCATAGCCTCTGCTTTAGGAAGGGACCCTGGGCACCTATCTCATCAATATCTAGGCCTGAACCTATTGTCTGGAACAGGAGCCAGAAGTCTAAAATCTACTGAGAATTCTACACCTTACAAATCAGGGCTGCTGTGGACAAGTCAAGGTGTCTCTCAGAGCCTCCGCCTCCCTGTGAGCTGAAAGTAGTGCCTGCCTTGACCCAGGTAGCTGTGGGAACCAGATGCTCATGATGGTGCTACCTTGTGGGTTGTTTACTCCCCCTCTCCCTCTCTTTCCCTTATAGTTTTATGGCTGCATTTCCCAGCAGCAGAACATGATGCAAGATTTTGTGAGGACAGCCACGTACCACAGAGCCATCCTCCAGAACCACATTGACTTTAGAGACAAGGTAATGCTGGCCCCAGGTTATTCATCTCACACCGTTTTCAGAAGCCTTTTCAAGCCCAGAATCAAAGTGAAGCTTCGTTAGAATTACCATAGGACCCAGCAATTCCACTCCTAGCTAAATACCCAAAAGAATTGAAAACAGGTATTCAAACAAATACTTGTAGACATATGTTCATAATAGCATTATTCAGAATAGCCAAAAAGTGGAAACAGTCCAAATGCCCATCAACTGATGAATATATAAACAAAATGTAGTATATTCACACATGGAATATTATGAATGTTATTCCATTTGTATTATCAATAAAAAGGATTGAAGTGCTGATACACGCTACAACGTGGATAAACCTCAAAAACATGCTAAGTGAAACAAGCCACTCAAAAGGTCATATGATTCCATTTATATGACGTATCCAGATTAGGTAAATCCAAGAGACAAAAAACATAGGAGCGGTTGTCAGGGCTAAGAGAGAGAGGGAAATGGCAAGTGAGTGCTTAATGGGGCCAGGGTTTCCTTTTGGGATGATGAAAATATCTTGAAACTAGGTAGAAGTAATGATTGTACAATGTCATGAATGTACTAAATAACACAAAATTTTATACTTTAAAATGGTTAATAGTTAATGTGATGTCATGTAAATTTTTTACCTTACTAAAAATATTAATCTATGAGTGCTAGGAATGTAAGAGACTGAATACACTATGTTTTGGTGCATAGAACAGGTTAGGAGTTTTGTTGCTACAAAATGAATAGCTCTTCATTAGATACCCTGCTTCAGTTTTTGCATAGACTTCACAAGTGCATGCATTTATTTCCTTCATGGACTGGATCTAAATGATGAACGATTGCTAACACATCGTACAACTTTTGTTTTTTATTCTTCTACCTGTTAAATAGCCAAAGTGTTCAAAATACCAAATAGCTCATCTCTGAAGCAAGAGTATTAGTCAGAGGAATCAGCAGTCATGAGATCCAGTTTCATATTTTCCCCTTAACTAGCCGTGTGATCTTAGGCAAAACACTAAACTTTTCTGAGCTTCGCCATTTGTTCTACTGCCATGATAATTGTAGATCCGTGGTCTTTGAGCTTCGAAGCATTAATTCCCGGTAGAATGTTGAAATAATGATCCCAGTGACTCACACCTCCCTATATCCATGCCACGTTTCAAAGTCATGTAGCTGCTCTTTTTATTAAGAGACATTGAGGCTTGTGGCTTCTGCCGTCAACTTGTTGGAATCCTGAGACTGTCATACTATGAAGAAGTGCAGTCTAGCCTACTGGAGTTTGGAGGTCACATGGAACCGAGGCATCCCAGACAACAGTCAACACTGACTGTCAGACTTGTGAGTGAAGCCACCTTGGGCCTTCCCGTCCAACCAGCCTGCCTGCCGAATGCAGGAATGTGAACAAATCCACACAAGACCAGCAGAGAACTGCTCTGCCCTCCCACAAAATTGGGAGAACTAATAAATTGTTTCTGTTTTAAGCCACTAAATTGTATGCAATTTGTTATATAACACTAGTTAATTAAAATAGAGGGAAAAATGCGTGAAAAAGTATTGATAAATAGGTCCCCACCTAGGAGTTGGTTCGCCCATGGCTTGCTTTCCTCTGTCATCTCCATTCTGCTATTAAGCCCATCAGTGACATTTTTATTTTGGTTATTATACTTTTTATTTCCAAAATTTCCATTTGGCACTTTGTTTTAGCATCTGTTTCTTGGCTGAGACTTTCTATTTGTCCATGGGTTATAGCAGTCAGTGTTCATGATTCAGCAATCATGAACTTTTTAATGATAACTGCTTTGAAGTCTTTGCCAGATGGTTCTAACCTCTGTGTCATGGCAGAGTTAGCTTCAGCTGATGATCGTTTCCCGTGGGAATTGAGATTTTCCTGACTCCTCATATGCCAAGAAAGTTTGTATTATTTCCTGTATGTTTTGAATAATATATTATGAAGCCTATGGAGAACATTGATCATTTAGTTTTAACAGCCAGTCAACCTGGTCAGATTCAGGCTGCAAGTTCCATCCCAATAGTTGGGCGTCTGAGGGTTGTGCTTCCTAATGTCAGTTCAGTTTTCAAAGCCTTGGCAATGTTATTTGGATCTGTCCTCTGTGTGTGTCACCCAGTGGTCAGTCTGGCACCTGAGCAAAGTTCTCAAACTTTTGGTATGTTAACTAGTATCTGATCCATGCATGCACAGGCCAGGGATGAGCCCAGGAATTTATAAAGGAAGCTGCATGGGGTTGCTTTGCCAACCTCCTTCCTCTCCATGGTCTCTGGGATACTTTCTGGTTCACTGTGACCACTTTTCAGTCTCTGGCCAACAAGTTTACTCTGCCATGTACTTCCATGACTTTACCTACATATTGGCCAAACAGAGAGAGGACAGAGAGAGGGAAAAGCACTGGGGGTCAGCCCAGCCTTTGGGAACAACAATGCCAGTGAATGGAGAGGAAGGTTCCCTTCCCGCACAGTTTTGACTAGTGCAGGCTGGTCTTGGCAATACCGTGAGATTGCTGGGAGCTGGAGTGGGGAAGAAGGGAGGGAAAGACGGGAAAAGTAGAGGGAAGAGGAAAGGGAAAAGAGAGAGGAAAAACAGAGGGTTTTCACACTCTGCACATTAGGAATTCCCTTTCCTGCTTCTGGAACCGGAACTAGAAGGTGACTCAGGAGCTCTCTTTTTCTGTACCTGGTGCTCATTTCTGATGTGTTGACTTTAGGCCAAGGTTTATGGGAGGGGAAAAAAGGGGTAAGTTGGATAGTATTTCAAATTCTAGTCTTCTTCCCCAGTCTGCCTGCTACTCTTTACTTTTCAGAATCCTCAAATAGTTGCCCCATGCACTCTGTCCAAGTTTTAAAGCTGTTTCCAGTGGGAGAGAGAGGGTGAAGCGGGCTTCCTCTGACTCACTCAGGACTGGGCAATATCTAAAAGCCAGATCTAGGTACTCTGGTAGACAAGGGTATTAGATAAGAGGAAAAGGTTAAGACCAGAAATGACCAGGTTTGGCCAAAGAGTCCCACATGTTGAATGTCCTGAGGTTCCCAGGAACCTTGCTTTGCCAGTGGGATGTGCCTGGTTAACAATTACAGAGTCAACACACCCAGTGAAGAAGATGTGATTATGACAGATGGGCAGGTTGAGGACCGAGGGGAAAATTTGTTTCTTTTGTCACCTTATCTGATCTTTAAAGCTGTAAGTAAGCAGTCTTGTTGACCTAAGGTAGGTTTTTTCTAACTAAAACACATTCAACCCTGAACTGTTAATTTCTTCTTCAAGATGTTTGAGGATGTTTCCTGGAGGTAATAGTTTTATTTAGGAAAACTTATCTCCTGTAGGGACTTAGTTTTAATCTAAAATCTATTTACTATTATCCAAAATCTATTTTGTATGTTATCGATGATCTATTTTTAATTCTAAGTACAGCTTCTAAAGACCACTTCCCAAACTACTATTGTCACTAATAATTTGCTTATGAAAGTCTTTTGCAGACTTTTCACATGGATCATGTCACGTGGCCATTTCATTTGTGTATCTTTTCATCTGTAGCAATGAACATATTGGGCCAGATTATCTTTAAGGTCACTCCCAACTCTAACCTCATTTGATTTTACAAAATACTCTCTTCCTGCCTGCCTGGAATGGGTTTATCTGCCAATGAAATGAAATAGGAATCCATCTGTTGGGGTTTCTGAAGGTAATAACTAATCACGGTTGATAATTATATCCCTTAGCCCCTTTGAGTTCTGAACCAATTTAGAAATAGATACTGATGTCAGGTAGAAATCACAATATCAGCTTTGTTGTCAGTATTGCTATTTGGAGAATGGGGCTTAGACCTGTGGCCAAATAAAGCTTCCTATTCCTTCTTCTCTCACACTGAACTTTTCCATCCACTTGTATGCTGAACAGCTGGTCTCCCAGACAAGTCCAGAGCCTGCCCTGTAAGCTGCTCGTGTGGGGGACTCCAGGCACACGGTGGGTTTGGGCAGGCTGGCCCCTCCCAAGCACCTGGGCTATGCATGCTCAGTCCTGTTTCCCAGTATCACCAGTCAGATAAGTCGCTCTTGCTGATGGGAAAAAAGTAGAAGGGTAGATGACGTCTCTTACCTCCAGTACTACCCTCTGCTGGGGGTAAACATCTCCTCACCCTGCAAACTGAAGGAGCAAACTGTCCGTGTGTTAAAATCCCAGGAATCCCCTTGGTCCCAGACAAACTGGGATGGCTGGTTGCCCTAACTCCAAATCCACCAAAGCTATCACAAATCCAAAATCTTATTTGGTCCTTTATTGTTTGCATTCATCATTCTAAAGACCATTCTAGAATAACCCCTGTGAGTCTGTGGAGGATGCTACTTTTTCACCACATCCTTATATTCTTTCTCATTGAAATTGACTATGTAAAAGGGCATTGAAATCGACTAACTAAAAGAGCATTGGTTTAGAATGATCAATACCAATGGCTATTATTTATTGAGGAGCTTAGTATAGGCATGCACCATGCTAAGGGCTTTGCACAGGCTGTTTCCTTTAATCTTTGTCATTGTCCTATAAGAGTAGGACAATGGTAAGAGTAGTAGCTACTTCCTAGAGTTCTTACAAGTTCAAGATGATACAACGCATATGCTCATTATGGCCCATAATATGAACATAATACATATTAACAAGTGTTATTATTATTATTGATGGTCTTGGGATATGGTACTGTAGTTTCTACCTCTGCTATCATTTTAAAGATTTCAAATCTTGATTTTTTTTTTATTCTGCCTCCTCCATGCAGTTTTAATGAAAGTCCTTTCTTGGCCAGCACACTGCTGGTTAAGAACTCCATTTGGAATCCATCCAGGAAACTGACCCTGCTGGAACCCACCCCATCTCCCTTCCTTAGAGTTTCTGTTAATTGCCATCTGGCTATTTTTAGTTTCTTAAAGTGTACGCTGGGTGCAAGCAGGCAAGTCCATCCTGCTGAGGGTGTGGGGCTGTAGGAGCTGTGGGG